TTTGTGGAGTATTCGAATACTCATCAGCAGGTAGTCGAATACTCTTGAAGGAGTATTGAGATACTTTTCTAGGAAGAAAAGTATTCGGATACCTTAGTGGAAGTATTCGAATACTGTGAAGTATTTGAATACTATAGTAAAAGTATTCGGATACCATGTGGTATTCGAATACCTTAGTGAAAGTATTCGGATACTTTCTGGAGACATGGAGTATTCGGATACTCATCGAGGAGTATTCGAATACCTTCTGCAGAATTAGCCTAAAATCACTTAAAATAAGTTGGAAAGTCATAGACAATTAATCAAACCTTGGGCTATGAATAATAAGGATTATTTCTGTTATAAACAGATGAGAGTGCTATTTGTGGACCTTGGATTGGGTTGGACTCTTTGTTTGGATTGTTAGCTTGCAAGGTAAGTTTTCGTGTCCTCGGATTAATCTGTTGCTTGTTCCATCGACCTCCATGGGAGGGTGGTTTATATGCATATATGCTTTATTGAGAAATGATATATGCATTGATATATGCCTTAGATATGTTGAAATAACTGTTGATATAATGTATGGATGTGATGTTGAGTACTTACACGATCAGGCTGCGACCCTGGTGTGTAAGGCATAAGGCTGTGACCCTTATGTTTAGATAGGTCGCGGACGTGTATAAATCCTATCCTGTTCCCTGGCCAGTCGAATCGCATTTCCATACATCACATGATTAATAAGTTGTAGTACTTGGCTCGTTGAGCAAGAAATATGTTGTCATTATTTAAATTCCTTAACATGAACATGCATTGTAATTACTATTTTCGAACTTATATTTGTACTTGTAAGTTAGCTTGGGGCGGAAGAGTCCTGGAAGACCCCTTGTCTTACTAAGATTTCTTTTTAGAGATCTCACCCCACGTTTGGGGCACATTTTCAGGTTCAGGTACCTCGGGGGTTGATACCTCAGGCGGTAGGAGGCCATAGCTTAGTTGACTGATGCATTCGTATTTATGCTGATATACTTGGATGCTGATTATGTTTTATTGTCATTATACTGTTATTTGAGCTGAGACTTTGTTGGGCCTTGTTGCCTGATTTGGTGAGCATGGGGTTGTCTATGCCACATTAATTATGTTTTGTTTATTTAAACTTTTATTGCGTAATGATTCAGGATTTTATCCGGACTGCGCGTTGTAGTTCCGTGGCTAGATAGACACTTATTTAATGAGGTTATTCAGTAAGCTTTTATTGCAATTTACATACAGGCATTATTTTGAAAATAGATTAAGTAATCAACTTGGTTAATATTATTGACGTTATCATTGAAAATAAAAAAGTTAGCTTCCGCATTTAATTGAGCTGCGCTTAATACTCTAATATGATAACAATCCGGGTATACACGGGGTGTTACAAAAGCTCTCAAACTCCCCAAGTCAAAATTAAAGACACTCAAGGATGGATTTTTATCCTTCAAGATGTTAGCTTTCAAGGATTCAAGGTGATAGTATGGAAGGAAGATGAAGAAATGTGGAGTCTTGGTTAGGTTTCACGAAGAAATGCTTAAGTCTTCATGGAGAGTGAGAGGTGGCAGCCATAAGGATCAACATAGAAACTTTTAAATTCTGACCTAGGTTTATGTGCACTTCTATTTATAAGTGCACTTAATTAAACTAACAATGTTAGTTTAATTAGTTTCACTCTTCGTTTAACTCTGAAATTTCATATTCTTAACCTAGACATGTTTCTTGGAATTATCATATTTTTACATTAATATTTTGAGATACTTTTCCGGTATGTATTTTATACATAGTCTATATTAGTTCCGACATCACAGCTTATTATTTTCACCTCCAAACTTGATATCCTTGACCTAGATATTTTTCTAAGAATATTTATATTTTTATTATAATTATTCGAAATACTTCACCGATACACATTTATACCGTGAAACAGAACCGGTATCTGCACTTATCATCAGAAAAGCGATTTAAGCGTTATTTAACCTTCTCGATAATTATTCTAATCTTTCTGTATTTATCCAAAGTCGATTATGGAATTATTTCCAAAACTCATAATTAAAAAATTTAAATTTCTAATTTAATGGTGTGGGTTCTTACACTCACCCCACTTTTTAAGAATTTTGTCCGCAAAATTAGAGACATACATGTCCCTAAACTCATGATATCACCGAAGAATCTTGTTCTTCCGCCCCCAAGTGCACTCCTCAGAAGTTCTACCTTAAGTTATCTCTAATCAATTATGTTCAATGGTGTTATGAATTTACTCACACCGTGAAAAGTATCTTTCTGATGATGCGCTCTGCCACACAGAGCACACGCTCTTAACATTTCCTCCAATATTGGAAGGATGCATATAGTTTGACCATTCATCAGAGGAAGATAAGAAGTACTTATTTCCAATTGAGTAACGAAAACTCTTTACAATGCGTTCTAACACAAGAGGTGAACTTCGGGTACCGACATTGACAATGCTCTAATGTACCCCATGAAGTTCTTACCATCACACTAATTAAACATTGAGCCAACAGCTCCATGGAAAAGCTTTCCGTTCCATGCAAAATTGGGCAGACAATTGTCATGTCGACCATAACCAAACAGAGTCGACAGAAGTCTAACTCTTCGACAATCCGAGAATGAAATCTCAGGTCAACGCACATGTAAAGATTATTCCCTTGAGGTGATTCCTCCAAACTATCAAGACAATACGCTCTTTGCTCTGTGCAAGATCATATACTCGCTTGCAGATGCTTCAATACTTGCTTCTTGAAGTAGTAGCAACATTGATGAACATCTTCTTAACTCAACTTTTCATGATCTTGTGTCCTTACCGATCCAACATTTCTACACGAAACATTGCAACATTCCCCAAACCGCCTTCCGGGTTTGAAGTGATCAACATCAAAATCGTTGTTCATTTCTTTGGGATCATCAGTCACTCTATCAGTAGAGGTGACTTGGCCCCCTATACTCTATTCCACACAATAACTTGAGTGAGTTTAGGTCCTATTCCATGACTCTAACCGTGTCTCTACATACAATTTTCATAAGTCCTCATTCTTTAGAATAAAGCCATAATTTCTTTCATAGTACAAAGTCATATTCATGTTCATTTTTGTAACACCCGGTGTATTAAACATATAATGGAAATAAGCGCAACTAAATTAATGCGGAAGCTAAATTTTTCCAATTATGAACCTTATCATATTAACCAGATAATTTACTTATTCTTTTTAAAAAATCGCTTGTATGTAAATTGCAATAAATAACTACACTGAATAACCTCATAAAATAGATAATGTATCAAGTCTTGGAATTACTACATGTAGACCAAACATGTCCTGATACAACAATACAACTCAGTCTGAATAAAAACTAGCTTATTCATACGTGGCATGGACAACCCCTATGCTCATCAAATAAAGAAACATAATCAGCAAGTCATGTATCAAATACAATGGCCATAAAGCATAACAGCAAGACATAAATCATGATTAGGGCAAGGTGCATGCATCATCTCAACTAAACTCCGGCCTCCTGCCGTTAGAGGTCTCAACCCCAGAAGTACCTGTACCTGAAAATGTGCCCCACACGGGGTAAGATCTCAAACGAGAAATCTCAGTAAGATAAGGCGTAGCAGCCCGTTACGTACCGGTATTATTAAATTGATTATGATATTAAGCGCAGTTACAATCACAGCAGTTCATTTATAAAAATGCGAGTAAACTTTTTCCTTTTCATTACACGAGCATTTTAAACAATAATAAAGCGTAATGAATAAAAGTTGTGACCATAACTGAAAACTAAATGCGAAATAAAAATATTAATTTCCTAACTATCATATAATACTTCTCCCAAGTCACTAAGCAGTTCTCATAAACCCACTTAGCCATAATCTCACTTCTACGGTTTTTACCTATCCGAATATGGTTCAGTATTTTGGATACAGCAAAAAATTCGTGCTTCAAAAACCTCTCATCTTTTAGTATGTTATTATAGACTTAATTATCTTTCCGATAAGCTATCACACGCTCCAAAAAGTTCTCGTTTGTTCTGGTTATCACCGTTTGAAGTTGGACAAGAAAATCTGCCAGCCATCCTCAAATAGGGCTCCAAACAGCCCTCACTATTTCCACGATTTCGGACAAAACACCCCACCAATTGCTCTCAAATTTTTATACAGTAAACTAGACACCTTAAGATTTAAATTGACATATTATGGGCCTAATTTGACCAAGAATTGAGGCGGGATTAATTTTCCCAAAAACATGTCACGACAGCCCCAAGTGCAGGGGATTTCTGGACAATCCTCACTCTTCTACCTCTACAGGTCTTCGTACTACTCCTATAGTTCTTAAATTTTAACACAATGTATTTGACATCTCAATCTTCAAAATGGTGTATGGCACGTCCCTATTAGACTTTTTTGAAGGGAGATATGTTCTCCCAAAGTTAGCCTAAAATCTGCCATTTTATTATAATTTCGACTGCATCTCCTTTATTTATTTAACTAGTGTGTTTTAATTTCTCAAAATGTACCTAATTGACAAGGGGGTGGCACACAAGGATCAACAAACCTTGGTACTCTTACAACGCACAATATACAACAATTTCAGATCATATAAAGTAGTATACAGGCATGATCCATAACTCTATATATATCACATTAATAGGTGGCTCTATGCCATAACTACGTCATCCTACGTCAACCTACATAAACATAATACATCACAATGTCACAAATATATACATCTGTACCCAAGCTAGTATAGCCTCACAAAAAGCCCAACTAATAACCATCCATCGGCAAAATATCAAATAGCCAGACCACAGTGGAACATATATATACAACAGACTCCCAAAATAAGCAGGCCACATCTATGCTCAAATCTACTCATCAACCACGGGCCTCTTGCCCCGAGAACGATCATCAACTGCTGCGGTACCTGAAATGTGTCCCCATAACGCGGGGTTAGAATGAATCTGAATAAACTTGGGGTTTATGGAGCAGTCTCCACCGAATCATCCACTTCCTGCAAGAAGATATCAAATACCAAAACATAGAGAACACCACATAATCCATATTAAATTTTTGTATCGTATATATTTTCTTATAATTCTTACGTATTCTTATAATGGAATTTCTTATTAATCTTTTGTCTGTTCATATCTTATGTACAAATTAAGGCTTTCATCTTATATTCATAATGCCACCTTATTGCATATTGTATCATATTTATTCAATGCCATACTCATATTTATCAGAAAACTAAAGTCCCCTCGGTCATATCTTTTATATATCATGATTATAGCCATAAACGTATCCACTGTTCAGAAATCGTAATTTACACTTTTAGGGTTGTGTCCCATTGAAAGATCATATTGTAATGTATCATAAATAATATCATATGCATGCACTATATGAATGCAACTATGTAAAGCATCAACATTAACAACAGTAATATCCATACGAAAACCATAATCCTCATTGATCATGGCGAAACAACAAAAGACAAAGAAAACTCCTAAACCGAAAGTGTAACACCCCGTGTATACCCGGTTTGTTATCATATCATCGTATTAAGCAGCGCTTAATAAAAATGCGGAACTAACTTTTTGCTTTTCAATTATGACGTCATTATTATTAACCAAGTTGATTACTTAATCATTTTTCAAAACAATTCTTGTAGGTAAATTGCAATAAAAGCTAATTACACTGAAAAACCTCATAACATAAATAAGTGTGTATCTAAGTCACGGAACTACAACACGTAGTCCGGACCATGATCCTGATACATTATACAACTCGAATCTAAATCAACATAGTCAAGTCAATGTGGCATGGACAACCCCCATGCTCACCAAATAAGGCAACAAAGCCCAACATAGTCTCAAGTCATATAACAATGCAAAGACAATAACATAATCAACATCCAATTATAGCAGTATAGTCTGCATGCAACAGCCAACTAAGCTCTGGCCTCCTGCCGCTCGAGGTCTCAACCCCCGAGGTACCTGAACTTGAAAATGTGCCCTAAACGTGAGGTTAGATCTCTAAATAGAAATCTCAGTAAGACAAGGGGTCCTCAAGGATTTCTCCACCCCAAGCCCACTTACATGTGCAATATAAGTTCTAAAGTTGTAATATCATATAAGTTCCAAAATCAGTGCAATGCATCAGATAATCATGTCATGTGAGTCAATATCCTATTAGCCAGAGAAAATGCAGGAATTACATACGTCTATAACCTACAATCAGTGCAAGATTTAACGCCCGACCGCTTCAAGAATCAATGACTATCCCCACATACTAACACGAGACTTTTCAGTGTGCTTTTTCCTCACTCGCACACTTCCCGGGAAAACTTCCCACGAGGTCACCCATCCCAGAATTGCTCCAAGTCAAGCACGCTTAACTGTGAAGTTCTTCCGATCCGGGCTACCGAAAAGCAGATGCATCTCTTTAACATAGGTAGTACCAATTAATTCTTATAAGCTATCCCAAACTGTGCAGTCTTATACCTACACAGCCTTTGGAATCCCTCTCTTTCGGGTGTCGATTTGATTCATTCATGCATGTAACCCCCTGCTGGAAGCCTGTTAGGAGCCACTCCTTGTTAGTGCCTCTTTGCACCGGCGATCACTCCCCGCCCTAGTCAGCGCTCGGGATGTTACATGCCCACCAGCTTCCGTCTGGTTCGTCCTAGAACCACACCGTACTGGATGAGAGGCCCTGCTCTGATACCACTTGTAACGCCCGATCGCTTCAAGAATCAATGACTATCCCCACATACTAACACGAGACTTTTCAGTGTGCTTTTTCCTCACTCGCACACTTCTCGGGAAAACTTTCCACGAGGTCACCCATCCCAGAATTGCTCCAAGTCAAGCATGCTTAACTGTGGAATTCTTCCGATCCGGGCTACCGAAAAGCAGATGCATCTTGTTAGCATAGGTATTGTTACATTTTAAGATTCAACAATACCGGTGTTGGCTCGGAAGAGGCAACACAGGAGCAGTAGTTAATTTTTCTTTAAGAGCAGAAAACATTTCTCATATTCCTGGGTTCACACAAAAGGAGTATCCTTTCGTGTCAATCGGGTCAACGGCAGTACCATTGTGGAAAACCCCTCTATAAATCTACGATAATAACCAGCAAGACCCAGAAAGCTCCAGATCTCAGTCACAGTCTTCTGTCGTTCCCAGTCAATTACAGCATCAACTTTGTTTGGATCCACCGCAACACCCCTAGCAGAGATATCATGACCCAAAAATTGCACCTCTGACAACCAAAATTCACACTTAGATGGCTTCGCATACAACTTTTTATCCCTTAATATCGGCAACACAGTCCTCAGATGCTTCGTATGCTCCTCTTCACTTTTAGAATAAATTAATATGTCGTCAATGAACACAATTATAAATTGGCCCAAATACAGTTTAAAAATGCGATTCATATAGTCCATGAACACCGCAGGGGCATTAATAAGCCCAATAGGAATCACCTGATACTCGTAGTGTCCGTATCTAGAACGGAATGCCGTTTTAGGCACATCCTCGGGCTTAATCCGGATCTGGTGGTATCCGGACCAGAGATCTATCTTGGAAAATACACAGGTACCCCTCAATTGATCCAGCAAATCATCAATACGCGGCAATGGGTACCTGTTCTTAACCATAACCTTATTCAACTGCCGGTAGTCAGTACACAATCTCATGCTTCCATCCTTCTTTTTCATAAATATAACCGGTGCTCCCCATGGAGACACACTCGATCTGAAAAAATCCTTTGCAGATAGCTCCTCAATATGTTTCTTCAACTCAGCCAACTCCTAAGTGTTGGAACCAAAATTGCTTAAATTTTTATTGGATTTCTACCGATTATTTATCCATACGAACAATAAATTCCAAAGGGACATAGACATAAAACCCCTCTAACAATGCTCACCAACATGCACATCATATTATGTCTAAAATTTTGATCCACAAGAAATAGTAAGTGAAATTGAGAAATCTTACCACCAATGGGTTCCTAGGCTTCCAGATATCAATATACAAGCTTTCCAGCAACAAAAAGCACCATCAATTACTACACTAACGCCAAGAAGCCGCCACCTTCAAGCTCAGATCTTCTCACACACTCACTTTCTCAAGGAATTTTTTAGGGTTTTTGATCAACAAGAGATTTCAGGTATTTTTTATGTTGTAACTTTCTTGATTCGGTGTCAAAATAAAAAAGTTGCAAACCCGAGCTATTCTCTAATGGAGGTTTCGGCTAAGGCATAAGAAATGAGGAAGAAGATGAGCTTTTAAGACTGATTTCATGCTTAAATAAGCTTAGCCACCAATTTTGACTTTTTAGAGAAGTTTAGAAAATATCAAAATTCAATTTATTTAATTAATCTTCTTGAAATATTAATTAATTTCAAGACTTAGGTATTTTCATAAATTCAAGAAGCACAATCATAGTTTAATAATGCCACCAATTTTTGCATAATTTCACTTTTGCCCCTATTCACAAACTAAATGTATTTTTCCAAAAATCTCAAAATTCCTCAAATAATTCAAATAATTATTTCTCTTGATTCTAAACACTTCTTTCAACATATATCCATTCCAGAATATTTATATAATTTTTTAGTTTCTTAGTAAAATTATACTGCGGTATTTCATCCAGTAAAAATTACTATTCATCAGTTTTCTAGAAAAATGCCTATCCACTTCCAAATTACATTCGAAATTCAAATCCAACATTATTTTCATCAACTAATGTCTAATTACATATTTTCATAATGTTAGGGTTCAATAATTGTCAAATTACCATTTTGCCCTTCGAGTGTATTTTCACCCGAAACTCAGGATTTTCACCAATTAAGCCCTCTAATCCACAATTCAATCATAATAATGCATTTTCAATTATGTGAGGTGTTATATTTAAGGTGCATCATGTGACAGTAATCTGAGAAAAAAGATGGAAGGGATAACTTATTTTTCTTTCTCAAATCTTGTTTTGTCGTTGTTGTTGAAGTTGCCACTATTCATAGTGCTTGTTGATTCGGTGGTCTTGAAGAAGGAAGGGGTAAAATGGGTTCAGAGATTAAAACTGCTTTTGGCTTTTCCTTCTCCTAGAAGTTAAAATTTCTAACTTCTCAATAAAGTCAAAATTTAGCTTTTTGACTAACTTCTCCTTTTTTAAAAAGTTACCATCCAAACAACTAAAAAAAGTTTAGAAGCATTTTTTTTTTATAAAAAAAAGCAGCTTTTGGGAATGGAGAAGCCCATCCAAATAAGCTCTTTCTCTTTATTCACTTAAAAGACACAATTCCATGTCGTTGAAAAGTATAAACATCGACAATAATGGTAGCTAGGGGTGTAAATAGGCCAGGGCAGGGCAGGCTTTGGCCTTCATGGCCTAAGCCTACACACGAAAATGTTTGGCCTATCTGGCCTATGAGCCTATCAAAGGCTTAGTTTAAAGGCCAAGCCTGCCCTGTTATTTAAAAATAAAAAGCCTACATGGCCTATGAGGCCTTTTAGGCCTACCATATTGTAAATTAAATAAATAAAAAAAATATCTCATTCATTAAACAATATTTCCAGCATAGGTCCAAATTATAAAAATTTTACAACAGATTTTTTAACAAGAACACATGTTATAAAAATTCTACAACAGATCTTTTAACAACAACAAAGATTGAATTTTTCTTGGCACTTCACAATCTTCTAGTGAGCCTTCTTAACATCATCTTCCTGCAAAAAAAAAGTGAATGAGGTAATAAAGTTATGTTTAAACAATGAATTTCTATTAATAATGATAAAATGTTAATAATTATGAAAATATTTCATGATGTTTTATATTTACGCATATTGGTACACGTGTGAAAATAAACTGTTTTGTGTGAAAATAACTGAGATTTCATTATCAGCATATATCAAACTTATAAATTATGTGTTTTGTGTAGTTCTAATATAGATAATTTTCTGGTAGTAATTTTGTACATTTGTTCGCTGCAGCATGGATGTCATGTAGAAGAAGCAGCAAAAAGCTGCACTTTAAGAGGGAGAATGCTGCCAAACAGAAAGCACTTAAATTTTGATCCAGCTAATCCGAAAAGCATAAAGTAATTAAATATAAAAACCAATATTGGTACTCAATTGTAGATATTAATAATTAAATAGACATCTCACCCATAAAAAGTAATCAGCTTGATTATTCCCACTATCTTTTCGAACCTGCAAGTAAAAAATCAGAAAATCAAATTAGTTATGCATTTCACTATGTTTACATTATGAAAATTGCAATATATAAACATTTTCAAATGTGTTGTTAAAGAAGCAATTTATACCTTTTATTTTTTTCTTCAAATCATATTTATTTCGTAGCCAATCTCCACCACAAATTAATGCTTCGACAGTCTCTTCGTTTAAACTAGCACGATAAGCATCAATTACTCTTCCACCAGCACTAAATGTGGACTCAGATGCTACAGTAGAAATTGGAACAGCTAGTATATCTCTTGCCATCTTTGATAAAATTCTATATTTCAAGCTGTTTGTCTTCCACCATTCCAAGGCATTAAAGGAAATCTGAAATTTTTCATCACATATGTAAACCCCTTCTTCAAGATAACTTTTTAACTCTGATTTTACTGGGGCAACAATTTCCTTTTCGCGCACAATGCTCATGATTTTAGAAAATCCTGATATAGGAGCTCGAGGTGGGAGAGTGGAAGAGAGAGATGATTGGTTCACACTAGTTTGTAGCTCACTATTTGGGACTGACTCTTGCAAACTTATAGCACAATACTCATTGTACAAATCTTCTAAAGCTGCCTTCACTTTTTCAACATTTTCCATTGCCTCAACTTCTGATTTGTATATAATTGGGAAGCAAATATTTACCACATGCAATTTACACCTTGGGTCTAGAACACTAGCAATGGCCATCAGCAAATTGCATTCCCCCCAATACTTGTCAAATTTTACTTTCATTGGCCTTGCCATTTCTCTCATAAAATCGTCATTATCTTCAATTGCAACATCAATTACTTCTTTAACCCGATAAACTTCAGGGAGATATAAATTGGCTGTGGGATAGTCACTACCTGATATGACATTAGTAACATGACTAAAAACTTCCAAAAGATTACAAACCTTATCCACCTTGCTCCATTCCTCTGCAGATGGCAAGTAATTATAATATGGTTCCCTTTCCTTGTATTCCGGAAATACATCTTTGAATATCAAAGCAGTAGAAAGCATTTCAAATGTTGAGTTCCATCTAGTGGGACAATCAATAACTAACTTTCTTTCTTTTACCCCCATCTGCTTAACAATATCACAGAAAGTCTTCAACCTCGAATCAGATTGATTGACATATTTAACACTTTCACGAACATTCTCAATTATACCTTTGATATGACTAAGGCCATGTTGCACTAATAAATTCAGAATATGTGCGCAACATCGTACATGAAATATGTTTCCATTAAGGACTAAATTACTGCTTCTTGACAATGTGCTCTTAATATTTCTTACGCAAACATCATTATATGCAGCATTATCAACAGACACAGAAAATACCTTATTTTCAATCCCCCATGATTGCAAACATTTAAATATTGCATCCGCAACATCAACCCCACGTCTTGGAGGTGGCACTTTGACAAAACTCAACACTTTTTTTTGTAATTCCCATTCTGAATCAATAAAATGGCCAGTAATGACCATATATTCAGCTACTTGGTGATTAGATTTCCACATATCAGTGGTTATACTAATCCTATTCACATTCATTAATTCAGCCTTGAGACATTTCTTTTCTGCCTGATACAATGTCATGCAATCATTTTTTATTGTTTGACGTGAAACTTTCTCAAAATCAGCATTTGCAAACTTAAAAGCCCACATCCAAACTGTGTCCTCCACAATGCTAAAAGGATACTCATGTACCATGATAGAAGTAGCAATAATTTCTCTCATCTCATATTAGAATACTTACCTCCTGATGCAAGGAAAGGGTTCAAGGTAGAACTTGTAGGCTGAAACTCTATGGTTGATTGCTTTAGTCGTGATTGGTCTGTTTTCCTTCTTAAGCAACTTTCTGAATGCCTCCTCAAATGGCTAGTGCTAGCTCCAAACCCACCCGTAGCAAATTTAGCTTTGCAATAGTTGCAAACTGCTTTTTGTTGTCCATTAGGGAGTTTAACTTCATGAAAATCATTCCAAACAGCTGATGTTTTCTTCCTTTTCTTTTCTACGACTGAATTTGCACTATCAGCCGCTGCAGCACTATCTGTTACTTCTTCCTGGTGTTCACCTCTTACTTCAAGTTGATTGGGGTCACTTGGTGCACTAGCAATAGCATTACCACTTGCACTTGCACTTGGAGTAGAGTCCATTTTCTAAGCATATAAAAAAAGAGTACAAAAAACAGAACAAATTAGCATCATAAAAGGATGTAAGTAAACTGAGATATATATTAATGTAAATAAATGTGAGAAGATGCTCATTAGAAGAATGCATTTCAATGGAGTAGTTTGTTTCGTGATCTTTTGTCTCACTTGTTCTCTACATCAAATTTCTCATATATATATATAAGCTATAAAACCCAAACATCAACATATATTCCATTGATTGGTTAATATTTATATATAGGCTGAAAAATGGAAAACGAGGAAAGTTCAGCTTGCAGGAAGAGCAAAAAATTGAAAGTGGACTAATCCATAAGTGAACTTTTACAAAAAATTGGAGTTCTATGGGAACTTTTACAATTTAGGCGGAGGAATGCCTCATAAAATAAATCAGAGAATATTTGCTAAATCAAAAGTTCAAATGGTTATGTTTGGTCAACAGTTACAATTATATCTTGCAATGTTTAAAACACATGCAGCAAATAGCACTTTATGATTTGTGAGAAAGTATTAAAAAATATCATTTCTAAAAATGGGGAAAACTTAGATATCCTACTAAAAGAAAGATATTTAACTAAAAAATACAGAAATATTTAATACAATAATCAAATGAAAGAGACTTGATGCCTTAAAATTTAGTGTCCACTTAGAAAAATTGCACAGCAAGAGTAATAAGTTTTAGAATAAGAAAGAAAAAGGTAGAGATTGATCATATGCATAGCTAAATCTGTAATGCATGTACTCTTGTACAAACAAAAGATAGATGCTAAGAGCCAGGCATTACAGCAGCATGTTTGTTTAGTCCAATTCAAAAAAGTCACAAGCCACACCAATTACTATACTAAATTAGCAATCAAAGAAAACAAACAAGCCACACATATTAGTAAATGCTCTTCTGTGGCTTATACTAGTTATCTTTGGTCCCTTTTATTATGTTATAGTAATTGACATTTCTAAAAGCTACTATAAAAATGAATTCTAAATATAAAAACAATAACAAATTTAAGGAAATGCAAAAGTAATGCAGCAGGTTGTTGATCTTCAAGTAGAAATTTAGGTTTAAGTATTGCGTGGAGCTTAGTTTTTAGTACATTCTAAGATGTTAATTATTCTAAGAAAAGAAAAAAAATATAGGATTTTTATCGGCATATATGTTTCCTCTGTAGTAGGTAAGAATTCAACTGATTAAATCACAACTGAATTTTGTTTAAATTATATAACAATAGTCGATCTGTTCATTAATACTACCGATCGATCGATTCAACCGGTTAGTTCAATTCGATTTTTAAAGCATTCAGATATATCATAATATATAAAAGACAATTAGTTCTAATTATGGAAAATGATATTGTTTAGTCTTACCATACATGTTGCTTCTAATGGTCATAAAAAATATTTATGCAGATTGCAGGCCAAAATGTACTAGTCATTTTTTTATGTCCACCTCATCCTTCCAATAAAAACACCACCGCTGCCACTCTTTTTTTTGAAGGTGACAAGCAATGAAAAATTATCAACCACTCTTCAAATTAAATAGAAAAAGTATGTCACATATCAAGTTTAACACCATTCACAAAACATAACCTTCGGAGTACTTTTCAAGGTTGGGTGAGAGAGAGCTAATAAACCCCCAAAACTTAAAAACAAAAACAAAAAGAAAATGGTATGCAAAGCATTTCATCGAGAAGAATCAGGAATAAATACCAGTAAAGTAACAGGGTGTGGAAGCAAGAGACTAGTTCAAATATCAATACTTTTTTTTTTTAAAAAAAAGAGAAGGAACAACGCAGTGCAGGAAGAACCCCCACCTGGGAAGAAAAAACAAGAATACCCAAGAGAATGCGAATCAAAAATAAGAATACCCAGGAACAATGTACACACTTGTTGTGATGATCAGAGCACTCACCGAGTCCCCCTTAAGGGGCAGTAACAGTGAGTTCAGCTACGCCTACAACAACAACAAAATCAACCTAGAAGAGAATCCTAAATTTCAAGGCTAAACCAGTAGCAAATCCAAAATAACAGCACCTTCGCAAAATCTAAAAAGTTAACGAAAGAAAAAAAAATACCTGGTAAACCTTGATAGATGAGTAACCGGCGATGAGAATAGATGGGTGACCGGCGATGAGAATAGATGGGTGACCGGCGGTGAGAGACTAAAACTTGGTCGTTTGGGTTTTGGTGAGACTCCTCTTGAGTCGTGAGATCTGATGTAGAAGAAGCTGCGCATAGCAAAAGAAAGAAATTAGGTTTTGTCATCTTTTAAATATAAATAATATTGTATTTTTTTTATTAAAAATTTAAATAGGCCGGCCTACAGGCCAAAAGGCCAGGCTTGTTATATTTAGCCTACGGCCTTGTTTCTAAATAGGCTCGTCTACAAGCCTTCACCTGTCCTAATTACCTCGAAGGCCGGGCCAGACCAGGCTTTACGTAGGCCAGGCCGTAGGCCCCTGTAGGCCGCCTGGCCCATTTACACCCCTAATGGTAGCTCAGTTTGTGTTGGGAGCTGAGCAGGTGTTAGAAGTGAATGTAAGTGTCGATCATTTCTAAACTATCTTTGGAAATGATTTAAAATTTTAATCCTGGTATCCATTCTGAATTGGACTAATCGTTACGCGATTAACCCATTGGAATATTAAAATAAAAGTACAAACACTAACATTATGGTGCCAAGTCAGAATTGCGTTGTCACCACAGATTCTGAGGGTGTTTGACCAATTTGGGACTTTTTTTCATTAAATTTATGAATTTGGTATGTGGATGGGAATAATTACTGTTTGAGGTCTTTAAGTGCCGCGGTGGGGACCCAGCGTAACTAAATGACGCCCCCGGGTCCCCGCGACACTCATGTAATTTGGTTTTTTTTTCTCTGCTAACCTAGTGCTGCCCCCACCCCCAACGACATTCAATAAATAATATTTTTTAATTAAATAAGTGCCGCACAAAGCCCCCATCGACACTAATTATCATTTTCTTTTTTATTAAAAGTTTCGCCCAGCCCCCCAACAACATTTGTAACACCCCGTGTATACCCGGTTTGTTAACATGTCATCGTACTAAGCCACGTTTAATTTAAAAATGCAGAATAACTTTCTATTTTCAATTATGACGTCATTATCATTACCAAGTTGAATTACTTAATTCATTTCCAAAACATTGTCTGTATGTAAATTGCAAATAGACAGCTAACTGAAATACCTCAATATATAAATATCTTTGAGTATCTAAGTCACAGAACTACAACACGTAGACCGGACAATATCCTGATAGTTTATACAACCTAAATCTAAGCAACGATACAAAAACAACTGTGGCATGGACAATCCCCATGCTCACCAAATATGACAACAAGCCCAACATTAGTCTCAAATCAAACAACATAATAACAGATAAAAGTCATGTCAGCATCCAGCATATAATCATAACAGCAGACATCTAACTCAGCTCCGGCCTCCTGCCGACCGAAGTCTCAACCCTAGTATCACCTGAACCTGAAAATGGTGCCCCAAACGTGGGGTGAGATCTCTAAACAGAAATCTCAGTAAGACAAGGGGTCCCCTCTCTGGTTGGTTGAATGTGTTCACAAGCTTCTTGGCTTCTAGTATACCTACTTACTATCATGGAAGAAGGGCGTAGCTACGTCTCGCAATTCCCTCTTACCCGGAGGAATGAATGATAAAGTCTGACGAACCTTATCTTGTATTGCTTCCGAGGTCTGCCTTCCTTGATTGAGCCCTAAAACTGGCACCGGTGGTTGCATATATAAGGTAAGGGTAAATTCTCACTAAATCTTTTGTTGATATACATATCCTCGGACGGAAGTCAACGCAAAATAAGCGGCTTCATCCACATTGAGGGTCGGCTTGGTGAAAGGCGTGATGCTATCGTATATAAGGAATAGCCTAGCCAACGCTCTACTTACCAACTGACCGACTGGACTACATATGTAAGACGATCGGACTACAGATTACGTGCTAAACGGATTAGGCTGAAAGGCAAGGATGATACGATTTTCATCAAAGGTGGAAGGAGATTCTCACTTCTTTTGCGAAAGACCATTCCCTTAAATGAAAAGCACATAAGCTCGCTCTACTACTTCGAATACGATAAAGATAATATAAGACAAAGAGATTCATTACGGATTGGAATGCTAATGATTGATTCCCTTTTGGGCTCTCATACAGAAATGAAAGACTGACAAGAGGAAGAGAAAGCAACTCTGACTCTTACAGTAACCAACAAACTAGAATCACTTCAATAAGTAATCAAATTACTTGCTTCGGAAGTAGCCGCTTCAGCTTCAGCCACTCGAATTTTCGATATTCCTTTTTATTTCTCATCAAACGAATGGCATCTTCTTCTGGAAATCCTAGCTATTCTTAGCATGATATTGGGGAATCTCATTGCTATTACCCAAACAAGCATGAAACGTATGCTTGCGTATTCGTCCATAGGTCAAATCGGATATGTAATTATTGGAATAATTGTTGGAGACTCAAATGGTGGATATGCAAGCATGAGAACTTATATGCTGTTCTATATCTCCATGAATCTAGGAACTTTTGCTTGCATTGTATCATTTAGTCTACGTACCGGAACGGATAACATTCGAGATTATGCAGGATTATACACGAAAGATCCTTTTTTGGCTCTCTCTTTAGCCCTCTGTCTCTTATCCTTAGGAGGTCTTCCTCCACTAGCAGGTTTTTTCGGAAAACTTCATTTATTCTGGTGTGGATGGCAGGCCTATATTTCTTGGTTTCAATAGGACTCCTTACGAGCGTTCTTTCTATCTACTATTATCTAAAAAGAATCAAGTTATTAATGACTGGGCGAAACCAAGAAATAACTCCTCACGTGCGAAATTATATAAGGTCCCCTTTAAGATCAAACAATTCCATCGAATTGAGTATGATTGTATGTGTGATAGCATCTACTATACCAGGAATCTCAATGAACCCTATTATTGAAATTGCTCAGGATAC